ACAACCACCAAACCAACAAAAAACCCCAAAGCTTTAAGCTGACACATGAATTACCAACATAAATTGACCCATTGCAACAACTAGAAGGATTTAAACAAAAGCCCCTTCTATTCTCCATGGGGTGAAAAGGCTGACTTTAGGTGACTAAGCCCCAGTGCTACCATTAACAATATGGTACCCTGACATCATTCTCAACACTCCATCAACAGCACTTTAAAAATGGTTTTCCCTAAAACTAGTTTTCTTCTTTATTCAAGTACAATTTTTAAATGGCTTTTTTAAACTAGAGTGACAAAAAGATTTTAATGAGGAAATAATTCTTTCACAAGACAGCCTTTTCAACTAGCTAACTTGTCTAAGAAAGTATCAGTTTTAACTGATCTGTGCTAATTAACAGTGCCTGAATTTTTTTCCAAGGTTTGTATTGCTAGAAATTCACATAAGCATCCTTCTTAATATTTCAAACCACATAGCCTCCACTGAACAGGCAACAGCTCACTAGGAAGATGTAAAAGTAGATTAAACTAATTAAACAATGATGGCAGAGCTGTTCTTCTAGTCTGAAGTCAAGACCACCCTCTTGCTTTCTTGATGCCAAGACGGGAAAGTATTATTGACCAAATGAGCTGAGCAGCTCATGGTAGTTTTCCATATTTCAACAGCAGAGACAAGGCTTGAAACAGGCTTCACATATGGCCAAAAATAACCAGACGATTCCATGCAAATGGATTAACTGATGGTTCTCAAATCCAGGAGACTTTCATTCTACTTTTTTTCCCTTAAAAATAAAATTGCCTCGTTAAAGTGTAATAGAAACAGATTTTTTGTTTCCCTGAAACACCAATTCTAACCTTTTCCTATACGCTACTTTCATTAGAACAACTTACACTAGAAAATACTAACCCTGTTTGACAGATTATCTCAAAACCAATGGGAGCAAGAAATACTTTGTATTACGTCTAGAACAGCCTTAAGAACGCCCTTGTCTGTGCAGGCAGAGGTTTAGAGAATAAGTATACTTGAGAGTACTTGAAAGTATAACCAATACAGTAGAAAAATACTTGCTTGCTTACTGTTGCACAAGGTATGATCTACCAATGCCAAAAAAATAATCAAAGATCCGTTTTTCAGGGTACTGACCTGACATTCTTCATCTATTCCTTCTATTTCAGGAAACAGATATAACACATGACCCCTTCTAATCATTGCCATGCTGAGCTACATTTGGACTGGAGAACTGAAAGTTAATTATCTACCAAGGCCTGAAGTTGTCAAGAGCCTGATAAGGTACTTCATCTATGAAATGTTCAACTGCAGAATGATTAAAACAAAGCTAATTTACAACAAGTGAAGTCTAAGTTTGGAAAAAGTAAAAGGAATAAAAACACTGAAAAAAGCAAGTAGCAGTTACACAGTAAAAGGCAGATACCTTTAATTCTTACTAAATTATCCTGAGGCCTGGAGCATTTTTCCATAAAATGCCACAGAGATTACAAATAGACGTGTAAGTGTTTTTAAGGGTAGGAACTTCATTCTTTCAAACATTGTGTATTTACTAAGCTGTACTTCTGATTATAAAAATATTGAAAATAATTTGCCATAGAAAAATACTTCACCTTCCTGAAGCTGGACTGGTTCTGCTGAGTTTTCACCACTCATTAACACAACAAAGCCTGCAGCTGTTCTGACTGAGGCTTGCCATGTTGACAAGGCAACGGGTGGCTCTTGGCATGGGAAAAGGGCTCTGTTGTTTATTGGCGATCCCATCGTATAGACACATGGCCTAGATGGAAGGAAAAGAGATTGAAGGTGGAGTTACAATATGAAAAACCAAATTAAGTTTTCTGTCAAAAATCAAACCTTTTTTTTTTTTTTTTTAACCTCAGCTATGTAGGTTTCAAACCTCTGTGAAATGAATTAATCAAATACAATCTAAGTTAAGACATGATGACGACAAGCAAGATTACCACAGTAATTTTTACATAAATTAGAAAAGAGTAACTTCAGTTTTTCTCCTCTCCTGCTACTGCATGAGCCTTTCAGCCTCATATAATAGCTCTCAACTGGACCCTAAGGCCAAACAAAGGTGGCTTCTGAGTATCTTCTGAAGATGCCATTGCAATGCTTCACGAATACATCTGACATCTTGTTGTCATCACAGTAGCGCTTTCATTATCAATAATCCCTTCTCACTGTACAACTGGAGACTCACCCAAACCCAGAGCAGTAGATCCAGCCTTGAGCCTTCCTTAGCCCAAGCCTCAGTAACTTGACATTTTCACATTTCTTCTTGCAGTAAGGTCATGCACACTAGCTCACATTCCTTTCAGGATTTAAACCACAGGGTATATACTGAGGAAATTGCACGTATTCCCTATCAGCATCAGCCTCCTTTTTGCTTTTCACACGGCAATCTTCCTTGTAGTACTGCTTTTTTTGCAGTTGCTCTAACCCTCTCCTAGGCAGCCTCTTCCATCTAGTGCCTCTTTCCAATTTTGTCTGCAATATTTCATGCCAGCCAATTTCTTATTAGCAGCTTAGCCATAACTGGGAAGGTAACAAAGGCTTTTATTAACTCCTTCTAGCTTGCTATTGCTGGTGCATAGATATAATAATTCTTGGTTTACTTCTGTTGCATTTTGCAGTTTTATCTAAATTCCTAGTAATACACAGGATTATAAAAAAAGATCCTAGTGGAGCTTATAGGAATGACAGGGAAGGCAAGGTTAATGACTCCTGATATACATAATTCACCAATGATTTACCATGCATTTTTGAAGGCTCTTTTGCTTGCTGCCATTGGTACAATCCTGTCTTAAGAGCAATACAGGGGATTTTCATATCCTGAAGAAATTTTCCTATCCTGAAGAGGGAAATGCCACAATGACTGAAAAAATGGACCGGCAGAACAGCACTGCGCAGAAAATTGCAATGCTGTGTCAAGTACAATACAAACATAACACACAACAGACACGTACTGAGACCGTTCATGTTACCTCTCTCTCAGAGAGCAACTTCTACCTGCAAACCATAAAGTTTTTTACAAATAATGTCAATACCATTTTGCAGATGAGGAAAATGAAGCACCATGAACGGATTTGCATGGTGCTGGTGTTCACGCTGCCCCTACAGGCTTAGTTTCAAGCCTCCCACTCCAACAGCTTTCACATAGGACTAGGAAGCCTCTCACTATAAGAAATAATACTTATTACATAACTAACTTTTTTCCCTAAAACATTTTAATGCTGAAAGAGATCACAAGTCTCTACAATTAAGGTCTAAATAGAAAGTGAGTTAGAAAAGTGGAGAAAGGCTGGTCAAGTACATAATCTTTTCTTCAAAGCTAGGTCTCCTTTGTACACCTCACCTGTTTAAATACCATTTTTGTCCAGGTATACTTATTAACTCCATTATTTGAAACCAAAATGTATTCAAATATGTCAAAGTCTACTAAGAAAATAGTAATGGAATACACAAGTTCTAAATTTCAAGAGGAAACTGTCAGAGCAAAAATTAGATCAGATTTTAATTAGATATTCATACATTCACAGCAAGATCACCTGGAGGCTTGACTGACAGCATGCCATGAACTGAGTTGTCAACTAACACTGAACAGTCTCCTGTTCTGCTTTACAGAGGAGTGTTTGTAAGGTGAATTCATTAACTTTTTTTCTTCATCTTTTCTTGTTTCACTGGAATTTTTAATCTATTTTCTTCTCAGCCTAAAATACACCTCCACAGATATTTTTGCTTCCCTTGATAAATCATGTTTTACTTTGCTAACTTTTTATACTTCATTTATAGCAGTAATTTCTTTTTACAACGTTGGTAATAGTGCAGTGTAACTTCAGGACACCCACTGCAGCTGACAGTTTTTCTTGTTCTGGGTCAGGCAGCACAATTCCAGCAGATAGGAAGACCAGAAACAACCCTTATCCTGATATGGATGAGATTTTTCACCTGATCCAGAAAAAGAAAAATTACTAGATAACCAAGCTACATCAAACAGCAATGACAAATAATTAGTTTTAGAATGCTTTTGTCAATTGATCCAAAGTATGCCTTTTTTCTCATTCATCCCCATCGCTGCTAGCAAGAAACTTCACAGTCCCGTTCCTTTTTCCTACTGTCTATCTTTTCCATCTCTCTTCTTTCACTTTTAACGGTCTTGTAACATTCAAATAATCTACTCAGGTAATATGTTGTTGTGAGAAAGTAACAGAAGATCAGCGGGGAGAATTGGTAACAAGCTCAAGTGACTTGCACCTGGGGTGTCAAAAACCATACCATTATTTAGACTTGTGTGCTTGACCAGTAGAACATCTACACTTAACACAGTCTTGTGGTGGACTCAGAGGCAGCTTAAGGAACATGCTTGACATGCCTGTCTTGCTTCAGAAAAGATGAAAGCACAGTGGAAAACTACTCCTGCGTGAATCCCTGAAATTTGGGTGAGAACAGCAGGTTCAGAGTCTCTCACTAACAAGGACAAAGCTCTGCTGTGCCTGTGTTCCCGCCTGTGTGCCTTTGCCTGGGTGCTGCTTTGGGCAGTCCCCAGTTCAGGAGGTATTGAGATTAAATTTACCCTTTGCATTTCATCTGTGGTTTTGTGGCTATTCCTGCATGCCACCTACATTGGCTTACACAGTTGTTTATGCCAGCCATAATCTTTGCCACCATAGATTGGAAGAGATAAGGAAACTGAACACAGAAAAAGCAAGATAAGCAGAAAATTCAGACTACTTGTCTAATTACCTGCTTCATTGGAAAAACAACCATCCACAAAACACAGCTCTGGTCACTCAGCTGGCCAACTTCATGACTAGTAATTCCCAATGATCAACATGCTATGGGAGAAATCAAGCACTAGTGTGGTATTCTTTGGGTTTGCTCCAAGAGGAGGCTCTAGGCTGTCTGTTCAGTAACCTCCCAGAGCCAAGGATTCTGAGGAAAAATTGATTCATGCAACTCTAAGTCATCAGTATTCCATATATATTCATAACATAACAAAACCAGTTCAAACCGGCTCTTGGCAGATCTCCCTCTCCCATGTTAAGTGTGTACATTATAATAACAAATTAAGCTACTGCCTTAGAACTCATAATAAATGTTCAGTTGATACTCTGTTCTCTGAACAGGAATCTGCAGGTCTTCTTTGAGATCTCTGCCATCAAACACCTGAATCATGTCCTAAGGCTCAGCCATGTCAACCTGCTTTGGTTACTGCCTGTTTGAAGACTTCTTAAGGAAAATGCCCAGCTTGGCAACCCTGTACCTTTCCTGCATTTGAAAAAATACATTCCCTATTTCTTTGAGGGCTGTCTCAATGTAAGGATATAAGGTGGCAACCTCCTGCAACTACAGGGCTACTCCCTATAAAACCACTGCTGTTTGCAGCTGTTTCTTACTCTAAATTACAGTGTCATTTCCACGAAGGAGCAGCATTTCCTGGCACCTAAATCACACCAACTTTTTTGTTCCGCCTCTGCTGGTTTTGGCTGGGATGGAGTTAATTTTCTTCGTAGAAGCTAGTATGGGGCTATGTTTTGGACTTGTGCTGAAAACAGTATTGATAATACAGGGATGTTTCAATTATTGCTGAGCTGTGCTTACACAGAGTCAAGACCTTTTCTGCTCCTCACATCACCCCACCAGTGAGTAGGCTTGGACTGCACAAGAAGTTGGGTGGGGAAACAGCCAGGACAGCTGACTCCAAAAGACCAAAGGGATACGCCATACTATGTGATGTCATAAAGCTGGGGGAAGAAGAAGGAAGGAGAACACCAGTCAATGGAGAACACCCATGCCTTTTTCAAACCATTCCCCAATTTAAAAGTACTAAATATGGCTATGAGATGAGCGATTCCACTGACTTTTCCAGTAATCCTTGCTACTCTGATGCTGGTTTTCCAATAGCTGAAAAGCTATGTTTCTAAACTGAGACTTCACTGTAGATTTCTTGGACTTTTGCTCACTTGTTTGTGGTCCACACCAGGCATATCAATCCTGCTTGTGCTAGACACAGTAGACACACGATCTCCTGTTCAAATGTTTTATATTTTGGTATAGCCATCACTAGGAAGCAAGGATAATAAGGTTAAGACAGGGCTTACCTTTTTCATCCCAAATACATCAATTTAATACCTATTGTGCTCCCACTTTGCCTCTAACAATAAGGATTTTTTCACTTGCTTTGACCTGTATTTTTGGCAAACGCAACATGCTTAACAGCTTCTTTGATGTTGTTATGAGAAAGTTTCCTAAATTTGAAGTCAAACATCTGACCAATCCCTTAAGTATTCCATCCCCTTCAATACTACTTAAGTACATCTCTCAAATACTAGTTCTGTAACACTTTAGGAAGTACCACCAAAATTTAATTTTGTAGCCATAGTTCCTGTTCAAATGGTAGTAAAGACTGGACATAACTGACTATTGACAGAGAAAACAGGAGATTTCCTAATTGCTCTATTCCCACAGCAGTGCACACAAAAATACAACACCTTGTAAACCTCTGTCTTTAAAAACTAAAGACAGTTTTCCAGTGGATATGAACTGTAATAAAGGTGGACATTCTCAGCTTTGTTCTGAAATCAAATGTTGCTTTGGCTTCTTGGCTGTCCAACCAATTTGCAAATACACAACTGCTGGTTTGACTATTTCACATACCACTGGCTCTTTAATCTTCTGTGTTTTCACGTCCCATTTAGATTTGAAAATTAAAACACTGAGTTTCGTTGTTTATATGGATAATGGTATTTCCATAATACTATTTCATTCTCT